TACTTTGAAGCTTATATGAATGACACATGGAAATCTTCGATTTAATAATAAGGAAATAGAGCAATCTAAAATAACACTACATTTACTAATACTTTATTTTTCTAATCCACATTTTAATTGGATATTCTTTCTTAAGAGTCTTAGTAAATTCTTAATAATATAATATGAGACCACATTGTGTGGCCTTGCTATTAACTTTTTGAATTAAATAATTTATTTATTTATTTATTCTCATTTATATTTTATCACATGTCTTTACAGTATACATTTCTTTTTCCAACACAAATATCAGGCATGTCAGTCAAGTATATTACTATATACATTATCATCAGCAAATAGCTTCTAATTTTTTTGTCAGTTCAGCATACTTTTACCTATTTTTTTTCCTTCTCCTTTCCCCTCCCTCCCCTTCATACTAAACTTTTTTTTTCACATTTTATTGATTCACAAAAGATCTTAAAGTATGGACAAAGCTAGAATCTAGTGACAAGTACACTGTAATTTTCTTCTGAAACTTTTTTCTCTTTCTCTCCATTCCCCCTTTTACTAAAGAGGTCTAAACTAACTCATTTGCAAAAAAAAAAAAAAATTAGATTAATCTCATTTGGTCTGTTATTTGCACAAAGCTCCAAAAGAATTCACTTTCTGGTGCAAGACAATAGATACTATTGTATTATTGAACTTATGCAAATAACCATTCTGCCACAAAATAAGAATGTTCACAGATATTTTCCAATTGCAAAGGTATCAGGAAGGGAGAAAATTTTATATTTCAATTTTAAAAATTCTTTTTTTTTTTTTTTAACAAATTGCTGAACCCAACAACTCAAAAGAAAACAAAAATCCTTGAATCTGGAAGATAAAGAATAGAAAAAAATCAGTGATGTTTTAGAAAAAAGTCATAGAATTCTATTTCGCCATATCAGTCTCATGTAATCTCTCTTTGATTGAATTTGCAGTGTTACTGTGGTCTGACCTTTCCGTTAACATTCAACATTATTATTGATATTTCGGAACTTGTCCCTACCATTAAGTTGGCCTTTTTCTTGGTCATTTTTTTTGTTCTCTTATTTTTCTGTTTGTCTTTAGTTTTCCTGTATGGTACTCCTTCAGAACTTCTCAAAGAGCTGGTCTGGTGTTGGTAAATTCTTTCAGATTTTGTTTATCTGAGAAAGTTTTTATCTTTTCTTCCCACATGAAGGATAATTTTGCTGGATACAGTATTTCTGATTGAAATTGTTTTCACTTAATACTTTGAGTATATTTTCCCATTCTTTCCTTGTTTGCATTATTTCCAACAAAAGGTCCAAAGTTAGCCTGATGGGATATCCTTTGAAAGTAACTTGACATTTTTTTTTTAATTTCA